GACTCTTAAGCTTGGTGATTCTAAGGCATCAAATTTCTGAATCAAATATTGTTCTTTCTCATTCAAATTCTTCCCTATATGTATCATGGTAGATCAATTTCAAGGCAATGAGGAACTTAGTGTTGTTTCCAGGCCAAATTCAGCTGAAGCCCTCATTTGGGTTTCTGCCAGCTGAATAAGCTGTTCTTGTTCAAATGCAGGTAGTCCTGAAGTTATGCCATCATTCAGCAACCATTCAAAGTTGTAAGTTCTGAACAAGAGGGACTTATAAGCAATCCACAAACTTGGGGCAGTCTCAGCATTCCTGTGTTATGTGACCATGATCCAGACATTAGATACCTGGGCTGCCCTTACAATGTTGCAGTGAGTGATTACCATTTCTGACTTTCCCTGCCAACTTCCACCAGGCAAATCAAGTCAGTGTGGAAGCTGACAGGATATCTGAAGTCACTTCTGCTGGCCCTGCTTTTCCACCTGCATACTCTCTAGTGCCTACCCGTGACACTCCCATCTCATCCCCAAGGTACCTGTGCCCCTGTTTGCACTCTCTAGTGTCTACTTGTGATGCATACCCATCTCACAATGGCACCCATGCACCTACCTGCGCTCCTTAGTACTTATCATCAACCACCCCCTAGTCTCCAAGCTCCTGCTCACATTATGGTGCACCTGTCAATGGAACCTTGTCCCCCCCTGAACCCACACATCCACCTGCATTCCAGACAGAGGGGAAATTCAGCTGATTCAGACCGGTTGCTAAAATTTTTGAATCCCACTCCTGACTCCAGAACACCTGTTTACCTGTTTTAAGACCTTTCTACAACATCTGTGCACCCATTGGTCTGTTTGTCTGGGTCTCCCACCTCTTCTCATTTAACAACCTACACAGTCCAGGGTTTATGAGGCCAACTAGAAAGGAAGAGGAGAAATGCCATTGCTAAACAATGTGGTCACCTGACATAACGCTTTATGATCCCATCTCTTAGCAATGGATATGGCTGCAGCCAAGCAAACAACCCCAGTCTCTCTGCTGCCCCAGTTGTTCATTCAGTTGGAAAATACTTCCCAGGATTTTCATTGCACTCATGATACAATATGCTCACCTACTTAAATAGTTTAGAAAATAATTCTTTGGATCAGTCTTATATGGATTGGTACAATTTTTAGCCGCAGAAGCATATAAATCCTTTGCTTCGTCCCATTTTTTTCTGTCTTGCTCAGGATTGTATAATTTGTTTTAGATTTGATCTTTGAGTAGCATGTTGGAGACATACTCCAAAATATGCGCCATTAGGGGGAAAATGAGCAGGGCCAGGGGGAAAGAGTAAATTTGATTTCTTACCTTTTAAATTAAATTAAGTTTAATTTAAAATAAAGGAATGTTAGTAATACAATTATTTCCTACATTTACGGCAAATTTACTGACAATATTTTATAGAGGTCTGGAGCCCACAGCCAAGATTACGGGGATCCACCAGTGGTGTATTAACCATTAAGCAGATTAAGCACGTGCTTAGAGCACCAGGCCCAAAGGGGGGCACCACAAAGTTGAGAAAGAAAAAAAAACCTCAATGAAGATTTGTACAGTATGTAGAAAGGAAAAGCACCAAGATTTGTCAGTGCTTAGAGCACCAGTGAGCCTTAATCCGCCGCTGGGACCCACAGTCCTTTGGTTCTCCCCTTAACCCACCCTAGGCTAGTTTTTCTGGGGAAGTTACCTTTTTCTCCCAGATGGTTTTACTTCCAGTACTGAAGACCAGTTAAGCAGAAGGAGAAACCAGAAAGAGAGCTTCAGTGCAATAAGCCTTGGTGAAGTACAGTTGTTTGCATCATGAACAAGTATACACTGGCCTATCCTTTTGATGTGAAAAAAAGATGTGATGGAGTAAAAACACTTATTATCGTATCCCGTTTGTCATACAGTTGGTTATGTTTTCCTTATTTCCACATTCAGATTCTATACTAGGAAAGTACAATACTCTGAAAATTATTCCTCACTTTAAAATGATTTTCAGCAATATTGGCAGCAAATTTTGTTTGGCAGCTTGATTGTACCATATTTGTAAAGACACCGTGGCAGAAGCAATTGAGTCTGAAATTTACAAGCGTACTCAAAATCAAATGCCGTTCCCATAACTACTTCCCTTGTCCTTTCATAACAAAATGTGGGTGAGGTTTTTCTGTTATAATGATGAGCAATGAAGCAGCAAGCATTTAGTACAAAATGTAACGGGGACACTTTATATAGTGGCAGAAAATAAGGAAGAAAAAAGACATTTCTTATTAGCAACTGAAGTCCGTCCCAATTCTCTTTGGTCAGAGTATCAAGACCCTGCTCAGTGCCATTGTCAAATACAATAGGACTAATTTTTAATACAGTAGGATTAATTTTTAATACAGTAGGATTAATTTTTAATTCAGTAGGATTAATTTTGGTTGTATAAACAGAGGCATAGAATCAAAATCACCTGAAGTAATAGTACTGCTTTATAAATCCTTAGTAAGACCATACGTGGAATACTGCATTCAGTTTTGGTCACCACATTACAAAAAAGATGTTGAGACTTTGGAAACAGTGCAAAGAAGAACAATGAAGATGATCAAAGGCCTGGAGACAAAACATATGAAGAAAAATTGCAGGGATTGGGTATGGCCAATCTAGAGAAAAGAGGACTAGGAATGGCATGATAGCAGTATTCCAGTATTTGAGGGACTGCCACAAAGAAGAGGCGGTCAACTTATTTTCCAAAGCACCAGAAGGCAAGAGAAAAACAAAACAATGGATGGAAACTAACCAAGGAGAGAAGCTATCTGGAATTTAGGAGAAACTAACCAGTGGAACAGCTTGCTTTCAGAAGTTGTAGGTGCTTCATCACTGGAGATTTTTAAGAAAAGACTGGACAGCCACCTATCTGAAATGGTGTAGGGTCGCCTGCTTGAGCTGGAAGACCTCCAAGATCCCTTCCAGATCTATTCTGATTGGTTGATTGATTGAATTGATGGCAGCATATTAGACTAGATCTATGGATATCAGCAAGATGGAAGTTTAATCAAACATTCCTGCTTAAATGTAGCCTATTAAAATTATACGGATAGTCCTCAATTTATAACCATAATTCAGCCCAAACTTTCCTTTGCTAAGTGAGATATTTGTTAAGTGAATTTTGCCTCATTTTATGATCTTTCTTGCCACAATAGTTGAAGTGAAATCACTGCAGTTTAGTGAGTCTGGCTTCCCTATTGGCTTTACTTATCAGAAGATCACAAAAGGGGATCACATGACCCCAGGACATTGCAACCGTCATAAATATGAGTCAGTTGCCAAGTGGCTGAATTTTGATCACATGACCATGGGGATGATGCAACGGTTGTAAGTGTGAAAAATGGTCATATAGGTCACTATTTTCAGTGCCATTGTAATTTCAAATTGTCACTAAATGAACTGTTATAAGTCGAGGACTACCTGTATTGTTTTAGCTGTTGATTCACCATTAGTGTGCTATCCAGCTTTCTAATTAATGGTACAGGATATTGTTCATCAGTAGGAACTAATTGTTCAAAGATATTTTCCTGAACAGGAAATCTCTCTTTGGGTGATTTACTATATGACCAAAGAGACATTAAGAGGAAAACAAACGATCCAGAATATTAAAAAGGAATTAAGTATCACCCTCCACTTCCAGCTCAAGCAATGCATTTTTTTTTTAAAAAAAACTTTAATAATTATGATTTTCATTTCATTTTTTTTCATTTTATTTGACATTTATAGGCCGCCCTTTTCCCTGAGGGGACTCAGGGCGGCTTACAATTTGTAGG